TTATTTTATAATTTTAAAATTTTTTAGAATCAAAATTAAAAATGAAAAATTACAATAAAATCTAAATGTATAATTTAAATTTTAAATTAATATAAAAATTAATTTCTTTAAATATGCTATATTAACATAGGAATGCATCTTAAAATTACACGAAAATAAAGTATTCTCAAAGTTATACAAAATTGGCTCCAGGACACCTAAAAAAAAAATGATAGCGATGTTTAGAGAGGCGTGGGGTTGAGAGGACTTAACTAACAGTCCTAGATCTCCTCCACCTTTCCGCTGTTTGGGAGAGGAGCATGAGAAGGTCTTTTGCGAACTTTATACGTAACTTAGCATAATCAATAAGAGGTTGAATCAAGTGGTAAACGGTTTGTTCTAGTTTAAATAAGATTTTGAGTTTGAAACTTTGTGTACGTAGTAGCCTTCATTGAGAGATTCACCCACTATTTTCAAGTACGCGATGTGGATTGATCCGGATTAGTCGAGGCGAAATCCTAGATACCGAGTGAAAAACCAAAAAAAAAAAAACGTAACTTAGCATATAATAAATTAAAAATTTTATTAGAAGGGAATTAAAAAATTAATATTTTATGGTAGGTTTGATGATGCTTTATGTAATAGAGTGTAACTTTTCATTTTTTTTATATCTTTCTTTACTTGGCTTAAAGTTTATACATGAAATTTACAACTTAAAATATCAAATTATTAACTAATTGATACACCCTTTTAAGAACATTAATTTTGCAATCTTGAGGATTTGAACCTACTATCTTTTCAATAGCAAGTAGCACATATAACTAGTAGAACCAATTCAGACCCGGAATTCAAAAATTAACTTTTAAAGTAACTTTTACGCAAGTTTTGAGAAATTTTAAATGTAAATTTTTTTGAAAACTTGTTTAAAATATTGTCTAAATTTATAATTGGTTTTTCTTTTCTATTATGTGCATGAGTGGGTGTTGTCTTGCCCCACCTCTGTAGCTGAACTACCTTGTTGAATTGGAAAGTGGCGGCATGGTAGGTCTAAACCAATTACACACATATCTTTTACGGTCACATTAGAGCATGCAGGTATAATTATAATTCCTCTTACAGCAGCTAGGCATGACGCCCCTAGATGGTACCATTGGTACTGCTTCCCTTTAGAGACCTCATCTTTAGGCCTTATTTGGTTGTATCTAGGATAATAGACTTATATATCTATCCACATGGAATACAATTTTCCTTTTTTGCCATGACTGCTTCTTTTGTCTAACTAAAATTGACATCTTCGTTTATTTTACTTTGTGCATGAAAGATTATTATAAATTTATAAGTATATATATATATATATATATATTTGATTATAGGTTAAATCCCCATTTTGGTCCCTGAACTATTGTATGGACCTCCGATTTGGTCCTTGAACTAAAGAAATCCCTGATTTGGTCCCTAAACTATTGTACAGACCTCCAATTTAGTCCCCACTGTTTATAATTTGGCCTAAGTTGGTTCTTGAACTATTGTACGGACCCCCCATTTGGTCCTTACTTTTTACAATTTCGCCCCAATTTGGTTCCTGAGCTATTATTTAGCAAAAGGACAAAGTTGGGGCTAAATTGGTAAACAGTAGGGACCAAATTGGGAATCCGTATAATAGTTTATGAACTAATTCGGGGTCCGAACAATAGTTTAGGGACCAACTCAGGGGTTCGTACAAGGTTAAATGCTAATTTTGGTCCCTCAACTTTATAGGTTTGCACTTTGTTGGTCCCTCAACATTTTTTTATACTTTTTTGATCCCTTAACTCTAAAAAATGCACAACGTTGGTCCTTCCATCAATTTAGGCCGTTAACTCTGTCCACGTGGCATTTTTTATATTTTTTTATGACATGGAGGGGCACAACTTAAAAAATGTGCCGATATGGATAATCCAACCTAAAAAAAAGGCATACATGGT